ACACACACACACACACACACACACATCAAACCCCAAATACGTATTTCATTGCCTTTTCCTGGCCTCTCAGCTNGTCTTCGGATACATCCGTGCTATTAGCGCTTTGGGCGGTTTTTTGCCGGTTCAGTTTCCGGTTTTTCGGTTTGCTTGTAAGCAGTCACACATACGCAGAATGTACCGTCGTGACTTTTACTGTACGTCTAATCCTCACCCTTGGCCCAGATGTTGGGAAACGTGGTGAACATTGCTCGTCATTCTGATCCATAAGCCGAAGAAGTTTATTCGCGCAGCTACATCTCACCCGGTGCACGCATTACGGATAACGTTTCAGCTCTNGCTCTCAGACAGAAGGCTCGATTGGCATTTGCTAACTTGAGACATCTGTGGCGCCTACGCAACGACATCCGGCTGTCCACGGAGGGTCGAGTGTATGCTGCAGCAGTCCGACCAGTTTTGCAATACAGCGCAGAAACTTGATCATCATGGGAACATCATAAAGATAGACTGTCGGTGTTTGAACACCGCTGTCTACGCAGCATTGCTCGAATCTGATGGGGAACCCCCCGGTCGAGTAAAGCCAAAAGACAGCAACCGAAACCTTTGCACGAAAGTGCGAAGGAGTTTCCAGTCCATTTGTATGCAACATTTATGCAACAAACCTATGCTGTTCTAAGACAATTTTCGTTGCTCTCTTTTTCGTACCAATTGTGAAGCTTAGTTTAATTTCATTTTGTACAACCGTTAATCAGGCACTTTCTTGCTCCGATTTTGGTTGCTGTCTTTTTGCTGCCTATTTCGATGAAGTATAAGAGAAAGACAGGAAAGTTGAAAGTAGAGTCGAACAGAAAATGAAGAATTTCAATGGTCTAAGGTTACGAATAAATGGAGAAGATGCACGAACGCCACTCAGCCATATCACTCAGTGTCTCTAAGCCTCGGTGACGGTCATGCCGAGGTCCCCAGTCACGGGGCCTAAGGGACCTATGTGACCCAGTACTCTGGTTAGGGATTTCATACCGTCGTGTCATGTCTAAGGCTGACCACCCTTGGCTTTTTTCCATCCACTGGCTGCCTCGGTGAACATCGCTCGCTATGGCAACCTATTTGGTGACATGCGCAACACATTCCCAACCAACGTAATCTATGGAGGTCGGCCACTTGCTCCAGTGGGCGACCGCAAATACCTAAAACTTAACGTCTAACCTCAACATTGCTCGTTCGGCTGCCCCACCAGATTCGTGTAGTACTGCGTAGACAGCGGTTTTCAAACGACGACAGTCTATCCTTATCCTGTTTCCTTAATGGCCAACTTTCTTCACCGTCTAGCAGAACTGGCCGAACTGCCGCAGCAAACACTCGACCCTCCGTGGACATCCGGATGTCTCAAGTTAGCAAATGCCAGTCGAGTCTTCTGTCTGCGAGCTGAAACTTTATCCGTAATGGGTGCTCCTGGTGATATGTAGCTACCCAAATAACAAAGTGGATCCACTAGCTCTATGGCTTCCCCAGTTAGGATGAGGCTGGATGCTGGTGTAATCCAATCTGAAGTTGCAAAATGCCTTTCGTTTATGGCTACGCTGGCGCTCAAGCAATCCAGAAAAGCTTGCAACCCTCCTGCATCTTCCCTCATCTGCACACTGTCGTCTGCGTACTCTAGATCAGCGAGTCTGCCACCTGGAAGTAAATCGATGCTACTATTCTCGCACGAGGATAAGACTGTTTCCATAATCAAATGGGTATCAATGGGTCTACGAAAAGCATGTTGATGCTCCAGAATTTGGCGGAGAGTGGAGATACTGTCGGTACAACCTCAACCAGGTCTAAAACCAGCGTGGTTCTCACACATGCACCATTCACGCGCTGCAGACAATCGACTGAGTATATTATCAACGAGAAGTTTATAGATGATTTTGATTAAACTAATTCCTTTGTGGTTCTTTCAGGAGGACCTGTCAACTTTGCAAATCGGTGTGATCACCGATTCTTATCATTCAGCTGGAACCTGTTCCCCTTCCCATATTGATCCCAGGAGTTTCATCAACTCCAAGACTAATGCTGAGTCTCCATCCCTGAACGCCGATGAAAACATCCCACCTGAGCCGGAAACCTTATGCCTTTTGAGTTGGCCTAATCACCGGGAAACCTCCATTTCAGATGGAGGAGAGGCATCGACTGGCAGAATTTACGCAGTCGCGGTGGTGGGTGACAGTTCAGATGTCGACGAGAGCCTGTTAAACTGAACCTCGAAATGTTCAGCCCAACGGTCTAGACGGCGTTGCTGATCGTGAATCAGTGTGTCATCGGATTCCTCAATTATCTCACTTACGCCTATTTTCCCAGGGCTCGTATTCCTAATTAGACAAAAAAGATTGCAACTGTTACCAATAATCGGAGCTTTCTCCATCTCTCTACACATTTCTATCCACCACTCCTCGCGGTAATTCCCCAGACTGTTGGTGAGCTGGCGTTTGAGGGATTTGCGTGCTGTCATATGTGGCATCCGGAAGAATGGTTCTGCGGGCGTCCATCAGGGTTGATGATATCCATCGTTTATCTTGAGCTTGGGTTGGAGCGTCGGACGTTTTTTATCGGTTTTTGCCTAGCTTCCATGACTTGCTTTCAGTGTTCATTAAGTCCTTCGGCTGGTGGTAGAACTGAGAGGCGATCGGAGAGCTCCGCTTCCACGACCGATTTGTAACAATCGCTGACACTGTATCGTGGGTATCCGTTGTCGGTGGTTTTTTTGTGGCAGTTTGCCAGGCGTAAGGAGAATTTGACTCGTATCAAAGCTTGGTCCGTATCCACGGGTGTTGACCGGTGAGAGTGGCGGTCTTAAATGGAATCTCTCGATCGGTAACTGATGGTGATGTGGTCAGTTTGGATGCAGCGCAATGAAGAGGTTGGCCGTTTCCATGTAGGTCGGTTTCGTTTCTTGTGCGAGACGTTGGTACCTGACAAGAGCAATCCGTGGTTAGCGCTAAGTTGAAGTAGATGATCTCTGTTGTTCGTCCGGTTGGCTGGGATTGCATGTGGTCCACCAAGAAGTCTTTCTGATTCGTCGAGACATCCTACTTGAGCATTGAAGTCTCCAGCGACTACTACAATGTTCATTGATTGAACACATTGGAGTAATTGAGAAAGATCCCTGTAGAACTCCTCCTTGATTTCAGGTGCATACACCAATATTACGAACAAGCATTGACGCTCCCTTCTGTAGCTGTTGGCCCGTGCTGAACCATTGAGACGTACGGCGCACAGTCGGCTTCTGACTGAAATCCAGTCAAAGGGCGAGCGCTCAGCCTTTGCACTTAGCGCAACAACACCAACGACACCGCGAGCTTCGGATGCTGAATCGCTTGACACACGAAGGGTGAAGCGTGAGGTTGAGGTTGGATCATGAGAACACAAGAAGATAATGGAAGTTGGGTCCTGTATGCGTGTTTCGGAGACATCATACATCTGAATTGAAAGTTGCAAGGGTTTTAGCTAAGGCAGCTTGTTGACCGATCTGGTGGTTTGCGGACATTGGACGCGGCTAAGTGAAAGGGGAATTTTTATGCTTTGAAAATCCTATATTTTCTGATTGCAGAAGGAGAGTGTGTTGGTGATATTCCTCCTTTAGATATACGGGAAAATGGGTTCCCAGATCATAGCGTTCACTGTTTCACTACGTGCACATAGTACATCAACTGGCAGCTCGAGTCCCGTTTACATTAGTAGTTCGCGTATGAGACCTATTTCCTTCGTTTGTCCATGAATTCAATGGCACTATTATTTTCATCGGGCTGTTGGGAATGAGTCATCAGCCGTGACTGTTCCCGTTCTATGCAACAAGGTTTAGATGAATAGGAACTGAAAAGGGCCATTCGATTGTTCCCTCTCGCTCTCAGTTGGCTTGAACCGACAGTCGTTGCCCCAAAACCCCCACCACCTGTTCCTGTGAACCTTCCTCCCCACATCTCTCACACGTAGTCAGATTTTTCTCACCACTTTGTGGTATTTCCATTTCCCGTGGATTTCCTCATAGACTTGCGAAATGTTTTCAGGAACGATCCCCTTCCCGCCCTCCCACTTGCTGGTACAGATCGGTTTTGATCTATGCGTGGCAAGAAAAGGTAAACCACATCCCCCCACTGATCACTGCCCGATCACATTATAAATTTCCGCATTACGAGTCTTTTGTTATGGGAATCATGGACATAGTGTATGTACATGATTCGGTGCCTGTTTGGTCTTACTCATCCATGCTAAACTAGTATGACTATTGTTTTCGTTCTGTGTGCAGTCAGTCCCGTATGAACGGTAATGTACGATGATAATGATGTAAGAATCAGCTAGTGATGCTCGTAGCTTGTGCGTTTGTGTGATGTGATACTGGGTTGATTGTAATACACCCTGTAAAATCCGCCGTAGGAACTGTTCGCTCTCTCTCTAGCCACGGATACACCAGACCGGTATCTTCGCTCCCTCCAAAGCCGGAATCTGATTTAAACTTCATTGAATCTTTCTCTGACCGTCCCACTGAACATTGTTTGTGGTGTCTCATTTTCCCCCTGTGCGATTGCTAAAGCGGTTCAGTGAACACTGGACAATCTGCACCACGTGATTGTTACTGTGGTATGTGCATTTCTTTTGTTCAAACTCTTTTAAGCTGCAAGCTAAAAAAAGATGCTTGGAATAAGTGCGCAACTGCGAGATTGATGGGTAGACAAATCGCAGTGTACGTGCACACAAGGACAATGCGTGTGCAACCAGCCAAGCTTATGGTTATCAAATAGAGACTCATAAGTTGTATACCCATTGCCGAGCTTTGTTCGTTTTTATTTTGCTTTCTTTCAGTTAATGAATTTTGCTTCATGCTTCATGTTTTATCTTCCGCAATATGCTTCTGTCTTTTTAATCGATTCATCACCTCGGTTTCCGATGCAGATCCCATCACCACCTCTCCACAAACTTACAGCCCACTAATTTGTGTTTTGGTTCCGTTCCTGTGCAAATAGATTTCTTCCGATACAACCTGCGCGGATTTGAATGCCACCGTTTGTCCAGACCGGGATTTGCCTTACGGTTGGGAGGTAGTCCAAGATCCTAAGTATGGGATTTTCTATATCGATCATATCAACAAACGCACCCAATATGAACCTCCCACAGAAGAAGATTTTGCTTTGGCCACGGCAGTTCGTTCACAGCTTTGGTCAGTCGGTGGGATAATTCCCACTTCATCCGTTGCAGACAGCTCGTCCATGGTCGATTCACTTACATCCCCGGACGGCATACTTGTCACAAATCGTCCCGGTCCGGATTCCAAAGACGATCGTGTCTCTCCAACAACGTTTACCACAGATCCGAAGCAGATTCGAGGACCATTGGTAACAACCACATTGGTGAAAAGTCCACGTGGTTTCGGATTCACTGTAGTCGGTGGGGCAGATTGTAATCGTCTTGGTTATTTGCAAGTAAGTTGTATCACGGTTACCATGGCTGACCAATTACGGTCATTCATTTCATCCCGTTCTAATTATGCGTAATACCATTGTCCTTTTGTTTCACTCGAATCACGACAAATCCGCTGCTCCAAGTTCCATCTATCTGCCTCTCTGACTACTTTGCACTCGTGTATCTGGGAATGTTATCTCATTGCTTCGACTGACCGGAATCTATGTGCACAGAGCGATTAGGTCGAGTTGATTTCTCCCGTCTTCCAGGTTTGGGATCCGAAAGACCATGCAACTAGTTAGTTGGACAAATGGAAGTATATGACAACTAGCCGACAGCAGTGACGTTCTTGTTGACGTTTCTTATCGGGCCAGGTTGCTTGAAACGGTATGTATGCCCAGTTTGCTTGTGTACTCTGTGTGCTGACTATAGAGATTCACTTTCTTTGTTTGTCTCCCTCCAGTTCAGCTCTAACGTTATCCATCTTGTACTTTCTCGGTCACTTTGTATACTCGAGGAGCTTGACAGCGATCACCGGAGTTCACTTCTCGGCATCTCGTACGATGATGATGATGATAATGAATCAATTTGCGTTTCCGTGATTCTGAACTGATTCAGCCGACACCCAGTAATCAGCAGATCACATGGTAATCGCTACACCTTTTAGACCACCGCTTGATGCCTCATTGTCGGTCCGGCATCAAGAAAAGCTGAGTTCTGTGTACAATCGTTGGTTCGTAGTCCCCGGACAGCTGTTCGCATTTTAACACCGATATCACTCGGCATTTCCTTTTCGTTTGCTGTAGGGAGTGGTGCCTATGCTCCATGCATACCATGATTTGGGGCAAATGTCTCAGTTGTCATTTTGATGTGTAACCACATTCACCTCTTGTCTCCATTATCTAACTATAGAAATTTTTAATATCAAGTCAATCATCGAGAATTGAAATACCACATACGAACACATACTACTGGTCCGGGATTTCACGGAGAAGCTGCCTCAACGATAGATTAATTTCGGCGCTTTCGGTTTAAATGATTCATCATGCTTTGTGGTCGTTACGCCGACAAATGCTAAGCAAACTGGTCTAATATATACTTGATGGAAAGATCATCATGATCCAATCAATTGACCGGTTCCTTGGGGAACACTCCACAGCCTTGCTCTCCACTAATTATGTAACGCTCACTTATAGCTTTAACAGGCTGAGGCATACTCCTTGGTGAAGGCGGATATTCGTTAGTGGATACATGAGATCGTTCTCTGGGTTGCACTGGCATCCATCCAAAGGCAAACGAGCTGCTACTGTGCCACCGGCAACCATGTAACTAAATCCCATTCTCGAAGCGAACAGTGTGAAAATAACCGCGTAACGCCGATACTATATCGTCGTTCTGCTCGCATATAAAACAACCAGTGGCTGAAAGTTGGAGCGTAGAAATTTTTTTCTGATCCACATGCCACGGTTTCGAGATTTGTGGAAATTTGGAATTTTTGCTTGGACCTCTTGCACCGGGCTTTACTCACGTCTGGGATCCCTTGTTCCACTGGGCTTCTGATCAATGAATCTATTCACATATCTATCCGCTCTGCACTTTGTGCTCAGCTTAGACTCCTTTCATCCATATTTACTAGTTGAGCTCCTTCACGCTCGCCCTGCTCCCGTCAATCGAGACCTGATACTAATCAATTTATTTGTATGTGACACTGGCATTTGTTCCAGATCAAACACTTGGTTCCCGGCGGACCAGCCTCGGTGAACAGTTGCCTGGATGTGGGTGATGTGTTGGTCGTGGTGAACTCGATCAACGTGCTCGGTTACACGCATGCCGAGATCGTCTCCCTCTTCCAATCTATTCCGGTCGGAACGAGTATCACACTGACCGTATCTCAAGCCTATCGATTGCGCCGTGACACCAGCGAGACTTCATCGATGAGCCCAGTCGCGACATCCGCATCGGGGATTTCATCCGCTGTGTCCGTTGCCCAACAGGTAT